CAACATTCTAATGATCATTCTGTTTCATCCAAATGGGCAACCAAAATCGGTGCACGAAAGGGCATGGTTAATGGTTGTAAGAATTGAACTGAACCGGTCTGGTCGATCAATAGTGAATGGAGTAGGATAAAATTGAAAACTGAAAACAGTATCAAAAGATGCAGTGCGGGTAATCTAGGTATGTATTAAAAGTGAATAGATACAACAGCACCATTCCCTAATAACAACCAGTTCCGTTACACAGCCATTAATCCCGAAGTGCCACTGACGCGCACCTAATCCTTCAATTAGCAGATTTTTTATCACCACTTGGGTCAAAAAAATTCCATCCCTAATACCGAACACACCAATTCTGAATGAGCTGCATCACATTCCACGTTCCTAAGGCGAATGTGAGTTCTCGTCTAATTTGGTACATTGCTTGCTTCAGTTTTTCTTTACTTGTTCTCATGCTGTTGTCAACTATACATAAACTGACCGGAGTGTTTTTACTGGTGTGTGTTGCTCAGTTGAAATGTGTACTTTGTGCTGACCATATGGGTTCCCTTTTTTCCCCTTCCTCAAATTAGTCCCAATCTCTGTCTACCTTGCACTGTGTTCCTTACCTTCAATGCATTGTGAGTCTGTCAGGGATCAGCGAAGTTCATGTCGCTGTATTCCGCTGTGTATCAGACAGTACTTGTGATCCGGGCGCACTGAGCTTATCTGTCGTAATTTTAAGCTCTTTTATTCGTTCTTCTCAATTAGTCTCCCGGTACACCTCTGGGCTTATTGAAATGTTATTATTCGAAGTTCAAACACTTTGCCCGCATTTTGCATTTCTGTATTTCGGGTTTCCTGTGTTCTGCGTAATATGGTATCTGTCTTAGTTGCAAATAGTAAACTCGTTTCTGAGTTTTCCTTGTCTCCAGGTTTCTACGGACATCAGTCGGTTTCCTTTTCTGTCTATCCGCGTCTGTATGCGTCTTGGTCAACCGTGTTCACGGCTTGACTCATTTAGTTGATTAAAGAAGTTTTATTCGATTTAGAGTATCAATTTCGGATTAGCCCATTCGATTGTTCAGATGTATCAGGCACTCTTTATGGTCTTGAGTGTGGGTTTCACTCCTTAAGAGATCGTTAATTCCCCACTAGTTAAATTCACTTAATTGCGATGGAAACAGGACGAAACAATTGCCCAGTGCTCTTTGTCGCTCATTACGAATATTTCGATCGCAATTATAAGCTCCACTCGTTTTTCCTTTTCTCAATGATTATCGCGCGTTTCAAGTAGCAGCCACTAGCACAAACCGGTATGTACATTGCGTGATTCGAAGCCCCCCGCCCCAGATGTCACGCTATTAAGCTCTTCACTCGCTACACTGTCACCCTTTTCAGTACCTTATTTTTTTATTGTGATCTTACGATTCAACAATCCAAATCTTCAAATGACTTGAAGATCGGTGTCCATGGTCATACAGGAGATTATCGTAACCAGAATGCTCCTGATTTTCAATTTTCCCCAGTGCTACCAAGATATGAAACATATCTGCCTCTCGATATTGTGTATTTTCTGTGTCCGTTTACCTAAATCTTTTTTACAGTAAAATTAACCGATAATTTCTCACCCATATCTCCTTCTGTCTCCTCCCCAATTCAGCATGATCGGTGTTGAAGCTGGGGCTGAGAATGGCTGGTTCACTGGAAACTCGTGCTCGCAAGTGGTACGTGATCATTTCTTACATATATCCTCCTCGTCTTGCTACAGAAACGCTATTAGTTTGCACAAATTCACGTCAACCCCATTGGGTTGGCAGTGTTCGATGTCCCTGCAAATGATTGCGATTATACTTATCCTGAGATCCCCAACCGGAAAGCGTATCACTTGAAAAAGTATGAAAATAGGTTCTCGTAGCCCGGAAAAACTGAATTCATTGTCGCCTGTCTACCGAGCTTGGCAATTTTTTGCAAACGTTTCATCACCAGCCAGCCTAACATTCTCAGTGCTTCTGAAGAACCTATATAAGCGAACGGGTACAAACAGATCACGAACACTTCACAAGCACTGAAGATTTCACCTCTGTTGGTGATGGAACATGGACAAAATATTGCCAAGCTCAGCGAACAGATGAAAATGAAGCGTAACACTATCCAGATGCCCAAGTCCTTTGGTCTTGATATCCTCGTGCCATATTTTCGTTTCCACCCACTACCTGCCTCAGCAAACACGGCACACACGCACATGGGTAACACATGCCCCAGCTATCTCACTCTAAGGATAAAGCACTTGTTTCAGTGCACAATCTTCATCACATAAAACTCCTCACCTAACCACGTCAGTGCTTGTCCGGTTGTCACGATACAGCATAGACAGAGGTGCTCCAATTGAAATCGGTGGGCGGTGGTAACGTCACCAATTATCACCCCGGAGGACGAGTGTTCGAATCCCACCACCACCGCCTGACTTTCCCCATTTGTGTGTTGTATGGCAGCCCTCTGATTGGCCGCTTCCCCCTTCCTGAAAATTGTATCTTTGTATATTCAATAAAAAAGGAAGTAAAATGAAAAAGAAAAGAAGAAAGAAAGGTTTGGAAAATTACGAAAAGATAATAATCGTTGTTTGTAGAGGAGCTCCAGAAACTATGCTGTTGTTGGAATGTTGGCCTTAGTTTTCACGCGTTTCTTCATACGATTTGTAATATTCCCTACAACAATGCAGCCCGAGAGCAACGGACAGAGGGAGTTCCTTGGTGTTACCCAGTATTGTATTTCATTCTCACAATCGGTTTTTATTTACTTAAAGTACCCCTCCTTTGGATGAGTTATGCATTGCTTTGGTATAATATTTGCAGGACAGAATAATTGCTTATCAGCACTGCGTGCGTTTTCAAAGCACGAAATATGCTCATCGATTAAGAACACACGATGTAGGCGAACATGTTTTCGGTGAATTCCTTTCCAAGCAATACGGTTGCGGATGTTAGCGACTGCAAAGGCGATTAGCTACCGACTCACGAAGCCTGAGCTGTGCGCACAACAAAATCTGATCCAAGCACTCAAACTTCCCTAATCAAGGGAAGAGAAAATTGCTTTTTCACATGACTATGGCGTAACATAGCGGATTTTGGTTACGTAATCCAAACGGCTTATCACTCTAAGTTCTCTCGGGTTCATTGACAAACGCATGACTAATCCGCCGTTTGTTTTGACCCTATTGAAATTGTTTCACGTAAACGTGATTATATAGGCTTGAACAGAGGTTCATACTTTGTCGTGATCGATGGATCTGAACAATAGGAAATATTTTGATATTTTTTATCGCACAATGTGAATTACAGTAAAAGGGGAGATCCCGTAGATAAATAGCATACTGTAAAAGGGATAGCAGGGGAACTTCCACTTAAAATCCAGTTTATTGATTCTGCGCCTAAAAAGTGTAAGGTTGTAAGTTGAGGGAAAACAGAAAGTGGGAGGGTGTTCTAAAATTCGGCCGTGCGGTAAAAAAAGAGATTGGAGCAGATACGTAAGACATCTGGTGACCAAAATCCGATAAGGATGACAAGATGCCTGTGTACAGGATGGGTGGTTAAAAGTTGCAGGAAGAGGCGCTGTCGAAGCAAGTTCCGAAGAACAAAAGAGCAAATTAATAACGGTAGAGCAAGGATAATGACTGCAGACTGGATGTTAGGGAAGGATCATCGATCAGCTGGACCCCAGTTCGTTGAAAACAGTCAAGTAGGGAAAGAGAAGAATATGAAGCCCAACCTTACACGTGGCTACAGCATTCAAGAGCAGGGCGGATCTGAGCTTTGTACAGTAGAAGGAAATAAACTGGGATGAAAACACGTCTGGCGCGAAATAGAAATCCAACTTCGCGCGCAGCACGAGAAGCAAGCTTAGCTCTAAAAAGGGACCAATATAAAAAGGAAGTTATAGGCAATCCAAGAAAAGAAACAGTCTGTGGAACGCAGTTGAGCGGAACCAAAACATAAATGGGGGGAGAATTAATGGTGTTTTAAAGAAATTGAAGGAAGAGAGGTTTTAGAACTATTGATTGAAACGGGGTTTTCAAGGCCCCAGAAAGAAATGTGTTCAAGATCGGAGTCCAGTGATACATTAACTGCACTGCGGTCACCATCGATGTTGTTTTCGGCCTGGGAGTACTGCGGTAGGAGAGTGAGCAGTAGAGGGTGGCATCATCAGCAAAAGAATGAATCGGGTTGACAGTTTGAGAAAGGAGATCATTGATAAATAGAAGAAGGGTGGGCGCAGGTACAGAACCTTGGTGAACATCAGCGTTCACAGGGAATGGCCGAGATAGAACCCCATCAACTCAGAGGGAGATGGTCCGCTTACTGAGGAAACTTGATATCCACCCATAGAGCGCCGGAGAGAACCGAAACCTTCGTGCCAAACTCGGTCGAAGCCCTTTGAGATGTCAAGCGAGACGACGTGTGTTCTTCGTGGTTATCAAGTGCAGCTGACCAGAATTGTGAGACAGGGGCCAGCAGGTCACCGGGGAAAGACGCTGTTGGAAGCCATACTCCCGGTCGCTCAGTAGTCCGCGTTCAAAGAACGTGCGTAGGTCAGAGATAATAGTTTGAAATACTTTTGAAAGAGCAGAAGTGAAGAAAATGAGTCGGTAATTGTTGGGGTCAGAAAGGTCGCCGCGTTTGGGAATGGGAAAAATCACGACATGCATCCAAGGGGTTGGGAGAGATTAAAAAGATGACGTAAAATAGGAGCCAGCTAGGGAGCACACATTATGATAACGGTCGGTGGAATACCGTCCGAACCGGGTGGTTTGTTTTCGTTTAGAGAGCGCAGTGTTTGACGGTTTTTTCTTGTGGTAATATGAAGTAGAAAAGGGTTGCCAGTGAAGATGGAAGTGCACGATAGTTGGGTAAGGTGCAATTAGCGGCAAACTGGGAAGCAAAAACCTCAGCTTTCTCCATTGATGGACAAACAAAATCACCAGGGGAATTACAGATAGAGGGGGAAGTTGGAAGGGTAGACATTACAGGAAATTGCTTTGGCAAGGGACCAAAATGTTCGGCCACCGGTGGCGGACGAGACCACGCTTTTAGCCTTACGACGAATGAAGTGTTCTTTGGTTCTCTGAATGGTCATCGAGCATCGGTTCCTAGCTTGCGCGAAGCGATGGTGGGAGTCGGGAGTAGGCGAGCGGTGAAAGGCTGAACGTTTTAGGCGTACAGCCCGGTCGCATGCATGGTTAAACCACTCGGAGGAATTCGGTTTGCCGGGTTTGGAAAAGTGCGGGATAAAAAGATGCATACCTTGAAGAACAATGTCGGTGAAGTTAGAAACAGATTCGGAAACGTCCCAAGAGAAACAGCTGTGCTTCCAGGGGCGAGAAGGTAGAAAATCACGTCTGAATCCAGACTGTGTGCCAAGCTAATCATGATACAATAATCTTTATGTAAAAGAAAAACGTTCTATGATGTGCAGTTAGCTGAGTTGTAGCACCAGAATTTGTCTCGAGGCGGGTGGTGGATCGGGACTGGTAAACCTAATAGAACAAGAAACAACGCAGTGTTCCGATAATCCAAGAGGGAGAGTATATACATCTGAGAGAAAGAAAGGACAGAATAGAGAATTAGATCGAGGGTATGGGTACGATTACCAGCTCGGTCAGGGACATGTGTGTGGAAGTCAACTAGTCGGCTCAGGATGTTGACCAAAGCGAAATGTTCGGCTTCGCACCCCAAAGGAGAAGTAGCAGATGAATGTGTCAACCAATCCTGATTATGAACGGTAAAATCCCCCATGATGGTACCATGGTAGATGGGGTCAGTTGCAGGCAAATGTTCAATGTTCGAACATGAGAAATCAAAGATGGAAGGGTCGTCACTATTGGGGAAACGATTAGAACACAAAAGTAATGATTAAGGGAAGGGAGTCGGAGCTTCAGACACATCAGCTGAAATTCACGATTGGAAAAGTCACAATTTTGGGATCCTGGAAGCGGCGACTGATTGATGAATGAAGGCACGGACACCAGCTTTGGGTAGAAAGGGGGGATGGAGATTGGCATGCAGTGCTCTACAACCAGAGTGCGATGTATGAATACAAGTTTAGGTTGAGGTCTCATCTCAGTTATTTGGCGCTCTTACAGTATTTCAAGCTGCCTCGCTCCTTAGGTTAATTCAGTTTACTACTATCCTTTCGTCTGATATGAAATTTTATTTTCAACTCATAGTTGTTAGAAGGATGTAGAATAAGTTTTTTTCATTTTATCCTACTCCATATTCATAATCCCCGAGTTATCCTGTTAATTACACACTGTGGAAGCACCAGACTCGATTTTCGTCCCCAGTAGAGCTCACCAGTAATATATATTCGCCGTCCCCTTCTAGGTTTAAAATTCGAACCCAGCTCATGGAGAGCGTGCCTTACTGTTATGCCAACCAGCTCACACCTCAAACCAACAAGGATTTCCTATTCATGTTTGTTCATATGTCGTCATCAGAGATAATCATTCAGCTGTTTGTCCGATAGTTCCGAAGGGAGACACTTTATGCAGTCTGCTATCTCCGGTCGAAGCCCCATTCGTATCGCGTCTTCGTAGCAGGAATCCTCTGGATTCGATTTTTCGTTTTCAACTAACCATTACTTGTAAGTAGTGAAATTAGCTGCTGATTATGGTCTCAGTTCAGTTCAGTTTGGACAACCATTATCCATGCACTTTTGTGCGCCGGTTTTG